ACAGAAAATGTTATACTACATCAGACATCATTTTGTGAGAAATGTGTCTCAGCTTTATATATGTACATATGTACCTGCATGGTATGTGTACTTCTTACTGAGGACTTAGGTCAAAAAAGTAAATTCAAAAGCCATGAGACTAGCTGCTATTTTTGATTCCCAACTACGTCTGAGTGTTTAAACACCACTGATATCCAGTTAATTTCAACTTACTGTAACCACATAGGACAGAGTAAAACTGATCCATAGGGTTGCCTATAAATATTTTATGAAAGCGAATTTTCTCATCTTTCTCCTGAGGAGCCACTGCTGGGTCTAAACAGTCAGCTCTTATGTTAGTTGCCCAACACTTTATAGTGTTTAGTACCTTAAAATTGAACTAATACCTCTTTCTTGTTATCTATTTATGGGTATGAGGACACTTTTTATTACTATTTTATGGATGCTTCTTGAGTTAACCCACTGCTTCTTGAGTTAACCCAATATTTTCTTGAAAGACTACGTAAGTTATTTCTTCACCCCAAATTACTAAATATAATGAGTGTTTTTGCTATACAAAATCTTCAATACAAAGACCCTACCACCACCTATATCCCACTCCCTTCAAGCCTAATTGTTGACTTGGTGTCCCTCCTTGATAGAAATTCTAGAACAGTCAATGGCTAAACCCCTTATGAAAACTTCTGTCCCCAAATCCACTAGTGCTCCTTGTCCTGGTCTCTTCCACCTGCTTAATAGAGCTTGTGTTGTTGGAGCCAAGATGCCAGATTCTAACAGGTCTTTATCCTGATCCCAGGTGGGTGATGCAGCATTAAACAGTGATATTTGTGATCTCCTGCTCACCAAGCATGGCATTTATGTGCAAGCCATCAACTACCCAACTGTCCCCCGGGGTGAAGAGCTACTGCGTCTGGCGCCCTCCCCACACCACAGTCCTCAGATGATGGAAGATTTTGTTGGTAAGTCCCTAACATGCAGTACTCCCCCTACCCCATTCAACCCAGGATTTAGAGAATAGATGCTGTTTAGCTTAATAAATATTCCGATATTACGCGCCAGGCCCTATACTATGGTTACAAACAAATGAGACTCATAAGCTTATAGGGCGCCAATTTGGTTGGGAAGGACATGGTGGACAAGCAATGACATCAAGGGATGACCACTGCTCAATAAAGGTAGTGCATGGGGGAGTGGTGGGAACAGAGAGGAGTCTGACCCAGCCTGTGAGATTCAAGATGGGCTTCATAGTGTAGATGACACCTGAACTGAGTCTTGCAAGATGAGTGGGACTGTTTTAAAAAGGAGATGATGGCCTGGAAGAGAGCTCTATCAAATTCATTTTATATGTATGAAAATTGAGGCACAGAAACATATAATCACTGGTCAAAAATCACCCAACTATGTTTGAACTGGGGAGTCTAGGTTCTACTACCTCTCATAGTTGACACTTCCAGGGCCTTTGTCCATTAGTTTCTGTTGCTATGTGCTTTAATTATAGAACTCTCTATATATCCAGATTGCCAGAAACAAATATGAGAAAGAAACACCTTGAATTTACCTGTCCCTTAACCCCAGTTAAGCCACCCTGAAATCTTACTATACTGCTCTGTAGAGTCTCTCTCAAATCTGTATTTTTTTCCCATTGACATTTCTTTGATTCATGCCAACTTGATAACCTCCTAACTAGTTTTCCTGTTTCTGTCTTGCTCCTCTTCAATTCCTTCTCCATACTGACCAGAGGAATATTTTCAAAAGTACAAAATATTATTCCTTTGCTTAAACATTTTCATAGTTCCCTCTTGCCTGGACTCTAGAACAGTATTCTTTAAGGTGAAGTATGCAAGATGACTCATAGAAAGAAATAAGAGTTTTGAATTTCATCATCTTTTAATCTAAAAAATAGAAAATTTTGCAGTACAGTGACCCTCAATATACAGATTGACAATGATATACATCATTGTATATCAATAAATTTATAAAGATTCTAAGTACATGCAAAAACATTTACACCGAGTGGGACGTGTAGTTCAAAATTTAGAGACTATTGACCTATAGAATTGAAGATCTTTAGCATGGCATTCAAAGTCGTCCACTTGTTGGCCCATATGTCCTCACCTCTCTCCCCTTTTAGTTCCTACCTTTTGCTCTACTTTCTTGCCTGTAGGTCTTTGCTAATATCATTCCATTCTAATTGAAATGCCCTTCCTCACCCCTTATTCTAGCTTTCTTTTCTTCATCTTTTAAACAAATATTGAGTGCCTATTATGTGTTAAAACACTGTTTTAGGCATTGGGGATAGTGTAGTAAATAAAATACACAAAATCACTGCCTTGTGGCATTTACATCTTAGAAGAGAAAGGCAATTTTTAAAAAGGTAAACTATAGAGCACATTCATTGCTATGGGGAAAATGAGAAGAAGGCTGAACAGTAAGTGTTGGAGGTCACAGGACAGCGTGGAGGAAGTATATAGTTTTAAATAAAGTGGTAAGAGTAGATGCCATTGATGTGACATTTGAGTAAAGATTTGAAATTGGTGAATTAGTAAACTGGGCATACTTGTATTTCTAAGGAAGCAGGAAAAGCCTAAGTTAGGAAAGACCTTAAGAGATAAGTATGACTATTATTTTTTAATTTGAGGAATAAGGAAAAGAACATGGATGGAGTGGTATAAGCAAGCAATAAAGTGATAGAAAATTAAGAAGTAATGTGAGGCTAGACTATATAGATTGTTAGGCCTATTGGAAGGATTTTGAATATCACTCTGAAATGGAGAGTTTGGGGAGTATTTGAACAGAGAAGTGACATCATCTAACTCAGATTTTAACAGATTCACTTTGACCTCTATGTTAAGAATAAACATAAGGGAAGCAAGAGAGGAAGCAAGGAACCCCGTTAGTGGATTATAGAAATAGTCCAGGTGAGAGATGATGGTGGCTCAGACCTGATGGTAACAATGGAGATGAGAAATGGCCAGACTGTGAATATAGAACTAATGATATTTGCTAATAAGTTGTCAGAAATTGAGATGGGGAAGGCTATAGGTAGAGCAGATTTGGTGGAGGGTAGGAAAATCACTAGCTCAGTTATAGTCATGGTAAAAGTGCTTATTAGATGTCCAGGTAAAGATATAGAGACAAATGGATATATGACTGGAGTTTGGGAGAAAAATCTGGGCTTGAGAAAAAAATTTCCGAATCATCAGTAAAAAGATGGGGTTTAAAACTATAAGGCTAGACAATATCACCAAGAGAGAAAACATTAAAAAGGGCTAAGGAACTTCCTGCCATTTAATCAGTTTTCTTCCTCTGAATTCCTGTATCTCTCCCACCCACCCCCAACTACCAGGTTTCCTGGTCACAGCACTAATGACACTGTCATTATTATCATCACCATCTTCCTCATTAGGTTTGGAGTTCCCAGTCAAATTGAGTAATTTCTCAGGCCACATGTCCTGTACTTAAGTATTCCAGGCCAAGACAGTATGGCTTCAAATCATATCAAATAAGTAGTTTCCAATATTTTATACATCACATAAAATATATACAAATAGTAACATCCATGGCACACTTCTAGCCCTATGACCCCTTGTAGGGTTGAGATTAATCTTTGAGAATCTGTATGTGACACAAGGATAAGGGAGCCTATCCAAACCAATCACTGACCTTCTGTCCTCTACCACATTAGAAAAGCTGCTGATGGCATGGGCTGAAGTGGGGCTGCCGCTCCAAGATGTGTCTGCAACTGCCTGTAATTTCTGTCGCCGCCCTGTGCACTTCGAGCTCATGAGTGAGTGGGAACGATCCTACTTTGGTAATATGGGGCCTCAGTATGTCACCACCTATGCCTGAGAAATCAGCTGTCGGGGATCCTCACCCACCTACATTTCACATGGGGTTGGGCCTCTCTGCTTCACTATGCCTTTGACTAACCTGAACCTGAAAATAAAGAGCAAACTGCAGCATATATAGCTCTTTTTTGGACATGGGCAACTGCACTAGACCTGACTTCTTCAAAGAAGTGAGTCATGAAGGAACAAAAGATCATTTGGTCCTTTAATGATAAAATTTACTGATACATAGACTCAGAATGAGGGACATGGTTAAAAAAAAAAAAAAGCATGCATTGACCTGCACAAAAAACTAGAACCCTTGGCATATAACTCATTCCTGATGGTTTCAGTAAGAATCCAAGGATCGAATTTTGCTGGTAGTCCTAGAACTTTAAATAGCCTTTAAAGTCAGGTGATAGAGCCTGCCCTAACCAAATTGCTTGAAGGTGAGAGTGACTCCCTCAAACTTTTCCAGAAGGGGAGAATAGATATCCCTCTCAGTTATCCTTTCCTTCCCACACCTTATAGCTTGGTTTCACAAGGAGAAAAAATAGGCTCGACTATGGTGAGAAACTTGTTCAAGGCAATGCTCCCAACTTTCTAGGTGAGAGCAAATAAAAAACACCCTTCCATAAGCTAATGAGGCCATTTGCTGAGGTTTTTATGGTACAGGTCCTGCCTTGTAGCTCTGAGAGCTGAGGACTGTTATCTTCTCATCGTGTAGTCTATTTATTGCAGCTATGGACCACACATATTGGGAAACTACAATTTAAGGTCACACTAAACCTACCTCCTTTGCTGATCCATCTTTGCCTTTATGGTAAACACCACGCCTCCTTCTTCTCTGAAATTGTATAACCAGGTCACAGGCAGTGGACATAACTGGTATTAAGGTAGCTCTTCAAACTAAATTTAATGGAGCATATCTAAACTATCAACATGAGGCTGTATGTGTTGAAACATAGACTTCATTTATGCATAAATGCATTTTCCAACAAGACAGGATGAGATGAAAGCTTACTGGACAACTGACTCCCATGTGCTTTTGATAGGAAGATGGAACATGGGGTGGGGAACTGGGTTAAAGAATCAAGGAACAAAATGCTAATCAATGAGAGGCCAAGCAGAAAGATGAGAGAGAAAGGGTGGCTTTGGAAGATAAGAAAGGGAAAAGGAAGGGCCCTTGAGGGAGGAAGAAAAAAGAAGACTGGGTGAAAAGGAGGCAGCATGGGGAGTCTAGGATGGGAAATGGCATCCTAAGACTGTAAGGGGCTGACTGCGCCAGCTATTTCTAGTTATAGATTTGTTCATCTGGGTCACCTCCAGAGGAAGAAGTTACACTGGGAGGAGGGGTCAGTGGAGGGACCTTGCGGTCTGGCACACATGTAGAAACAACGGCCTAGGTTGGGCCCAGGTTTATTCACAGTCCACATCACAGATGGCTCCCTGTGGCCCGCACAGAGGGGGACAGGCAAGGGGTGCCCCAGCACAGACTTCCAGCACAAGGTCTTCACCTCTTTTTCATACTTGGACTCTAAAGCCTTGGCCTGCACTGGCCCTAATTTGGCTGTTACTTCCCTTTCTGGGAACATTATATTCACAGGAGCACCCATCAGGCTAGGATACACCAAATCCAGACAGATTTGGGGATGGCTAGAGGATGGCTGGCAGTAGCTCTTCAGGTTCTTCTGGCTTCTGTTGGAGCCAGCCTGGCTTGGCCAAGGCCCGGTTGAGCGCACATGGGCCTTGTTTGGACATGTCTTCACCTGGGTTTGATTGATAAGCCATAGTGCTGACCACCTGATGACTGGATCTTGTTCAAGATTAACTAGGAAGTTAAGAATCTGGGAGGAAGAGGCTACACAGAGGTGGGCATTGTTTTGTGGATACAGAGGATACACTCAAGACTGCACCCATGGGGAAGAGGTCAGATCCCATCACCTCAGGTAGCAGGAAGGAGTCCTGGAATGTGTCTATGACCAGAGTCCTGTCCTCTAGCACATATTCAAGCCAGAAGCCATGGTTGAAATAGTGGGCACCACTGACTTCTGGCCAGCAAGTGAAGGCACATTCTTTCTTTGGTTGGAAACATCGGCAACTACCAATGAAAGGCCCTACATGGGCCTCATCCTGGCACCCTAGGACACTGAGTAAGCCATCTATCCACTTGAGTCCTGAGTCCTCTTCAAAGAATCCCTGAGGAGGAAAGAGAAAGCAATATAAATGATAAGCAGAAGTCATATGCCTAAAACCAAAAGAGATGTAGACAAATTGCTTTATTTTACAGAGAAAAAATTTGGTTGTTCCAGAAGACTAATGCTCAAGATTACAGTTTACAATTGTAAGAAATGGAATTAGTTGTCCATCCTTATTGATACATGCTTATCTCTTCCTTCTGCACCAGGTTGCATTGTTCCATAAATGCCAAATCTGAGTTTGTTTTTTGGCCTAATCAAAGCTATTCCTAGAATTAGTTACCAAAGGAACAGCAAACAGGAAACTAAAACTGATTGCTTCTAGGGCAGCGGTTATCAACCTGTGGGTCACAACCCCTTTGGAGGTCGAACAACCCTTTCACAGGGGTTACCCAATTCAAAATAGTTGCAAAATTACAGTTATGAAGTAACAACAAAAATAACTTTATGGTTGGAAACTAAAACTGATTGCTTCTAGGGCAGCGGTTATCAACCTGTGGGTCACAACCCCTTTGGAGGTCGAACAACTCTTTCACAGGGGTTACCCAATTCAAAACAGTAGCCAAATAACAGTTATGAAGTAGCAACGAAAATGATTTTATGGTTGGGAGGTCAAGAGGAGCTATATTAAAGGGTCACGGCATTAGGAAGGTTGAGAACCACTGCTCTAGGAAGTAGGGCTGGAATTAGGAAGACTAGCCTTTTCATTTCAATTCTCTGGCACTATTTTTTAAATGGAGATCTAGTGGCATAGTGGTTTTGCATTTGGCTGCTAACCATAAGCTCAGCAGTTTAAAACCATCAACCATTCCATGGGAGAAAGACAAGGTTTTCTACATCCATAAAGAGTTACAGTCTCAGAAATCCACAGGGGTAGTTCTACCCTGTGTATCCTACCCTGGGTGATCATGAGTCAGAATTGACCCAATGGCAGTGAGTTTGGTTTGGGTTTTCTGTTGTATAAAAGCTCTCATTGAGCCCTAACCACAAAATCCTACCCCCTACACTCACCCAGCTACTCCAAGGACCCACGTTTGAATATTTCCTTTGGCTCTGATCCCCAATCCATTTGTCCAACCAACTCATTCATTGTAACAAATGATTGTAGAATATCTATTAGGTACCAGATATGCCAGGGATAAAGTGGAGATCTGATCTAGCCCTAGGGACCAAGGAGGTTTCCTTTTAGGAAGTGATCTGGAGCTGAGATGTGAAGGCTAAGTAGGAATAGAAAGCAGCTGTTCCAAATGAGAGGACAACTTCTATGATAGGCCTGTGGATGGAAGGTGCAATGGAACCAAAAGACTTAAGTGGAGGAGAGACTAGGGGTAGAATACTAGGCTGGGAGAGTATTTACAAGCCCATACAAGCAAAAGATGATGGTTATTTAAGTCACAAAGCCAGAGGCAAAAGAGAAAAAGCACAGAAATTAAGATTATTTGGAGCTGGAATCAAAAGTACCGGACTTGCTTACCAAGTAATTATGGGAAGCAGGGTAAAGGAGGAAGACCATACTATCACTATTCTCAGATTTCTAGTTGGAACAATTAAGGAAATGATGGTGAAATTTAGGGAGATGACAAGACTAGAAGAGTAGGTCTGGTAGGAAGTGAACATATTCTACTATTTTGGAAATACTGTGTTTATCATGTGACCAAATACTATTAGCTCTCTTTTCCTTGGAAAAAAAATTCAGGAGGCATATTTGATAAACCTGGAAAAGTTCTTAACTGAGAAGGTAAGACTCATACAACTCTTATCACAATCCATACATACATCAATTGTGTAAAGCAAATTTGTACATTTGTTGCCCTCATCATTCTCAAAACATTTCCTCTCCACTTAAACCCCCGGCATTAGGTCCTCATTTTCCCCCTCCCTCCCTGCTCCCCGCTCCCTCATGAGCCCTTGATAATTTATAAATTATTATTTTGTCATATCTTGCCCTGTCTGACGTCTCCTTTCACCCACTTTTCTGTTGTCTGTCCCCCAGGGAAGAGGTCACATATAGTTCCTTGTAATCGGTTCCCTCTTTCCAACCCATTCTCCCTCTACCCTCCCAGTATCACCACTCACACCACTGGTCCTGTAGGGATCATCCGCCCTAGATTTCCTGTATTTTCAGTTCCTATCTGTACCAGTGTACATCCTCTGGTCTAGTCAGACTTTCAAGGTAGAATTCATATCATGATAGTGGGAGCAGGGAGGAAACATTTGGGAACTAGAGGAAAGTTGTATTTTTCATCATTTCTACATCACCCCCTGACTGGCTCGTCTCCTCCCTGAGACTCCTCTGCAAGGGGGTCTCCAGTGGCCTGCTAATGGGCTTTGGGTCTCCACTCCACACTCCCCCCATCATTCACTATGGTAAGATTCTTTGTTCTGATGATGCCTTATACCTGATTCCTTCGACACCTCGTGATCGCATAGGCTGGTGTGCTTCTTCCATGTGGGCTTTGTTGCTTCTGAGTTTGATGGCCACTTTATTACCTTCAAGCCTTTAAGACCCCAGACGCTATACTTTTTGATAGCCGGGCACCATCAGCTTTCTTCGCCACATTTGCTTATGCACCCATTTGTCTTCAGTGATCCGTTCGACACCTTGTGATCACACAGGCTGATATGTTGTTCCATGTGGGCTTTGTTGCTTCTGAGTTAGATGGCCGTTTTTTTACCTTCAAGCCTTTAAGACCCCAGACGCTATACTTTTTGATAGCCGGGCACCATCAGCTTTCTTCACCACATTTGCTTATTCACCCGCTTTGTCTTCAGTGGTTGTGTCGGGAAAGTGAGCATCATAGAATGCCAATTTAATAGAAGAAAGTATTCTTGCATTGAGGGAGTACTTGAGTGGAGGCCCAGTGTCCTTCTGCTACCATGAACCCCTAATAAAATGATTTTTTAAAAAACACGAAGTACCAGCCACTAAAAATTTTATATGAATAGCAGTGGAATATTGTCAGATACCAGGTTGCTCCTTTGAAGCAAGGGTTACAGGACTATTTCAGTTATAGATGACCTAATTTCTGCTATGATTTTAAAAAGCCAAAGCCAGCATTGTTTGATCAATGGAAAAATAAAAGAACTAAGTTATAGCATTCCTAAAAAAAAAGAAAAAGAAAAAAGAAAACTCTATGGAGCAGTGTACTTCACAGACATGAGTTCGTCATGAATTAAAATGAGCGGATTGTTACCTGGGAAAAAAAAAAGAAGGTAAGGCATGCAAGTATATGATGCTATCAAGAGAAAATAGAAAGATCAGACTTAAGTGAATGCTTGGTGAGGAGCAAAGCAAGGCGGTACTAAAGGGCTTGTATATAGTGCACATTCTCCACTGCCTTCCACCTGCCACATACCACCACCATTCTTTCATTATCTCATGTCCTGTCATCTTTCTAGCTGAAAGCCACACCTTCGTCTGTATCTCACCAAGGAAGTTTGCTATATATTGAGTAGGACTGTGTCAGAATAAGTTACCAATCTCTCTTTTCATGAAGCAAGTCAAGATGAGAACTGGTTTGGAGATTCTAGAATAGTGGTTTTCAAGCCTGGTTATACAGTAAAACCACCCTAGCTTTTAAAACATACTATTACCCTTGCCTCACACCCAAGAGACTATGATTATTTTGATCTAGAGTGGTGCATTGGTATTGATATTTTTGTAAAAGCAATTTGTCTGATGTGTAGTCAAGGTTTAAGAACCACTGGCTGAGAACTTAGGTATGAGGTTATGATAAGAAAAAGACAGAAGGGAAAGAAAGCCTACCAATTCAGGGCATAAAGCAAAACTAGAATGAGAATAAACTTTGAAAAGGGCAAAGGAGAAAACTTAGATAGAGTGGGTAAAGTGTACAGTGGTATTGAGGCTGAAATTGGAGACTGAGCACAGACAAGAGCCTTGAATGCCAAGCATGGATATCCTCTCTGCATCACAGATTTACAGAAAGGTATCCAATATTTGTGAGAAGGAAGAACAGTTTTAAGGAAATGACCAAGGCAATAAGAGATTTGAGGTCCTTGAAATCTAGATCCTAAAGGATTCTGCAGTTACACCTCCTGCCATTCATCTCCCTCTCCTCTCTAACAAGAATGGGACTTGCATTTCCACTGGCCTTTCACTAGAATGCTTTGCTCCCTCTCCTACCCCAAGATTAGTTCTATTCATCTTTAAAATCTAGATATTTGTATGTGCCTCCTCTGATATCTAGACTAGCCTAAGAATCTTAACTCTTGGATCCTCCAGTCTCCTGTGTTCTCCCTCTCTATCTCAGTTGTAAGGACAACATTCTATAATTGGATGGTTGTATGTCTATAGCCCACCGCCACCAAACAGAGAACTTCAATAGCCTAAGAGCTGGATCTAAATCATAATAAATCACTAGCACACAGCTCAAGGCAAGGCCAAAAGTAGGGTCGATAATGCCTACTAAATGTGCCATCAATCATCAGTGTTTTGAAGATAGTATTGCAAATTTTGCTCTTTTTTCTTGAAATAACGTTCCACCAGCCCGAAACCCAACATTGATTGGTTGGCTAAGCAGAACCATTGAGGAGGTGGTTTTAGGCATCTGCAGAGAACCTTATCTGATTGATTGCATCCCATTGATCAATCAGACGGTGAGCTGTGTTCAGGTCACCCAAGATGATCACATGGCTGAAAAAATATCGAGTGGGTTATCAATTGGACAATCAAGAATGGGAAGCAATAGTCCTGACTTCACAAATGTTTTCCTGAACCACCAGAAGCTCAGCTAGGTCATTTCACATTTGGGGGCTTTCTAGCCAATATCAATTCATAGTAGCCTACTGCTGCAAATCTTACTTTAACTTTGCTGCATTTCTACCAATTCTGGCATTCAAAGGTCACATTGATCCCAGTTAAACTTAGCTGCCTCATTGATCTCTACCTAATGGCATCTTACTCTGGTCCTTCAAAGTTGAGTTCAGATATACCATGGCCTTTAGGAATCGTCTGCGTACTCTAGCCTACCCTCACCTTTCTTGTCCCTCTCTGGAACTCTTTGGGTCTTTCTTGACTAAGACTTTTAATTTGCCTCTATCCCTTACCTTCCTAACCTCATCTCTGGGTTAAGAGATTAATATACCCACTTGACAAGAGAAAAGACAGGTAGGACTAGCCTTGAGACTGATGAATGAAATCGGAAAGCAGGATAGGTGAAATATTTGACTACAAAATCCATATTTGTGTAGTTTTACCTTGTTGCCACAGCCTTTTAAGAAAGCAGAGCCTAATTAGGTAAACATATTGGTGCACACAACACAGTGGAGCTAGGCATATGGTTAGGCGAAACCAAAATCAAACTCACTGTCATCAAGTCGATTCCTCATAGCAACCCTATAGGACAGGGTAGAACTGCTTCTGTGAGTATCTGAAACTAAAATGCCTTGTCTTTCTCCCAGGGAGAGGCTAATGGTTTTGAACTGCTGACTTTGTGGTTAGGAGCCCAATGTGTAACCACGATGCCACCAGGGTTCACCTAGGGCTGGTCACTTAGGATAAACTCAAAGTTAAGTCTTGCTGCCCAGGACTGCAGTACCTGCCAGCCGCCAGGAGGGCTTCTGCTCAGATCCGTAGCAAGCAATAGACACTCATCTTAAAGGCCAACCTCTCAGGCTTTCCATGGTCTGCATGGGGGCAGTACATGTTTATTAATGTCAAGGTCTTCTCCTGTTCTTCCTATGTGCTAAGGAGAAGAGAAACTCCCCACTCAAAAAAAGGAGCGTCATTTTCACACTTCCCATTACCTCTCCTTACCATGTATTTTCCACTTAAATGGCCATCTGTCCAATCATCTGTCCAATGGAACAGAAAGGTGTTAGAGAGACATAAATGAGCTGGCATATAAATTTCAAGGACAGTGATGACTACAGGTGAGATAGAAAGATGGGCATCTATGACAAGGTAAATCAAGTGATGGTGTTGCCATTCACAAAGACAGGACACCAAGAAAAAAGAACAAATTGAGGCAAATAAGTTCAGCTAAGCTGTTTTTGAAGTATATATGGTAGTGAGAGCTGGACTTCCAGGCTAGCACCCCTACTGTAATGATAGAGAACTCAGGGTTTAGAATGGACAAGGATTTGACTGAGGTCACATAGTGAGTAGTCTAGTCAACACTAGAAAGCAAAGGCAAGTCTGAAAACTTTTCCATAGTGAATGCATGTTTATAAGGTAAAGTTTGGAGACAACACACTTGCAAAGTACAACCAGCTGCAAAGAGATATAGGCCATTAACAGATCTTGTGCTATGTAAGGAAGGCCTGAACCTCACTATCCATAGCCTGAAGTTCCTCTTGGGTGAACTCATTCATGTTTCCATAGCAACCCACATTCCCATTCTGAGTTGTAAGCAGGCCACTCAGACCCTCTTCAACAGTCACTGGGGTACAGCTGTCCTTACAAAATGTGGCTACACCTGGAGACAAAAGAATACTCTCAGCAGGACTGACAGCCTAATGTACACTCTATCTCCTTTCAATTGCTCCCACAAACCTGAATCATTTTTATAAAGTGTGGCTCTGTTACAAACTCATGAGAATCTGGGGAAGCTCTATTCAAACTTGGGTGCCTCAGTCTCTCCCTCTATAAAAGCCACAGAATAATACTAACAGTGAGTATTCTAAGTGTTTTATATGGATACATGTTAAGTGCTCAGTAAGTGTTAGCTATTATACTCTGCTTGATGGTAGGGGTTGTTTTGTTTGGTATAATTATCATATAGATTAATTAATTTACTCTTGGTAAGAACCTTAGGAAATAGCCATTATCTGCATTTTTCTACTGAAGATCCAGAGGCACAAAGAGTTACTTGCCAGAGGGAACAGAGCTAGGAAGATGTAGGAAGTTAGGCTTCAGAGCTCACACAAGTAACCCCCACACTAATGTCCTTCTTAGGCCCCACAGGTTGATTTTTTTTGTGGGTGAACAAAAAAGATTTACTGACAAATCAGTGGCAATTAAATAGAATAAAGGTTTGTTGGGGAATAAAAACTTCAGGTGAATCTCAGTCTTCCTGCTCCAGCATCAAGCTCTCAGGTCGTTCCTCTTTGACCGACACCTTTGACGATGGTGGGGCCTTGCCAGGCAGCCCAGGCCTTCTCAGGGCCTTGGGAGCTGTGATATTCTTGACCAGGTATGTGGAAGCTTGGGGGGTCCAGTGGTGCCCTTACTTTTGGGCTGAGCTGTTGCCTTGGTTTTTGGCTCCTTCCCAGGCCCCTGGGCAGCCACCCCTTTAGGAGCCTTGGCTGTGACTGCTGCCTTCTTCCATACCAGTGAAGTAGCATTACTCTTGCCCTTGGGGACTTTCTCTTTGGAATTCTTCCTGCCAGCATTTGTTTTCTCCACAGGTTGATTTTATACATAAAAATGATACTTCATACAACTTAATTTTATTGGTTTGAGCTCTGTTGTGGACTAAAAACCTAAAGCTTTTATTATATTCTCAACAAGTACTGGAAGCCTTTCCCTCATATTTCCCTCCATCTCTTATTAAAGAAAACCCCTGGTTACCAGCATAGCCGGTTTTGGCTGAAGCTAAAATAGGAGTTATAGCCCTCAACAATAGCCAGGGGCTCTGTCAGCACATCCTCTAGAAAAAGAAAAAAGATTAAGTCAAAGATAGAATGAAGACTCAGGTACTTGCTTGGGCAGGGTCCGGACGGGGCAGCCCCCAACTCCTCTCTGGCTCCTCAGGAAGATGAAACTTCACAGTCCCCATTCCCAGCCTTTTGGGAAGATGGATGACTTATTGAACTATACAACTCCTGCCCCAGCACCCCAGGAAGCTATTTACTTTCCCAGGTTGATCTGCATAGCCCCTTTCCCCAGCACTTCAAAGAGCAGGTCTTCAAACAACAAGACGACCTCCCAAGGATTGCCTCCTGACTCAAGGCCCTGCAGCTGCAAGCAATAAAGCAATAAAAAATGATCCCTTCTGTTAACTTCCTTAGCTTGAACCCTATTTATCTTCCACCGCCTCACCACCGACAGACTGCGGCTTTACTGACCTAACTCTTTAGGTCACAGAACTTGTCCTGGAGTTTTCCCTCACCTTAATAAAGCCTCGCTATACTTATTCCTTACTAAGCCTTATCTCCTTCTGTGCCTCCGTCTCCAACCTCTCACTACACACAAAGGCCTAGAATTTCAGCTGTAGGTTAATTCCTTGAACACATGGTAGTTGAGAGGGAAAATGAAGGGACCATGATGGTGCTAGAAAGGTGGGGAATACAATAGGAATTGGTAGAAGAGGACACATTACCTAGGAGGAGGAAAAGAGTCAGAGCTAAAGGTGGAGAGGGCACAGAGTGGGAGAAGGATAGGAGAAGTAGGGAACTGGGAATTTGAGAGGGAGTATATTCAGGGAGCTGAGAGTATAGAACAGTGGTTCTCGGACCTTCCTAATGCCATGATCCTTTAATACAGTGCTTCATGTTGTGGTGACCCCCACCCACCCAAAGGGGTCTCGACCCACAAGCTGAGAACCGCTGGTATAGAAGAAGCTAGTTATGAGGAGTGTGTGTGGGATAGGGAAGGAATCAGGAAATTGAGCTGGGATGGAAATGAATGGAAGCAAGAAGAACTTAGGGGATCTAAGTTTGGGGTCTCTGGGTGGCACAAACGATTACAAAGAGGTGCCTCGGAAGGCAGGTCTGGAAATCTGCTTCTGAAAGGTTGGAGCCTTGAAATTTTATGGAGTAGTTCCACTCTGAATACAGGGGAACTCCAAGAGTGGTGTAGCCTCCACTGCGACTAACAAGAAGCTTAGGTAGGAGAAAAGGTAGGAATTGGGGGATTTGAACTGGACAGTAGATGGGGCTATCTACTAAAGGGAATTAAGGATCTAAAATGGAGGCTAGAGAGCAGGAAAGGGAACTCTGAATAGGGAGGTGGATGATGAATCCACCTTACATCAGAGGATGTAAGTGGGGATGAAGATTTCCAAAGAGCAGAGGATATCTAAACTGAGGTGGCACAAGGAGGTTTAAGGAAAAAGTTTCAGGATTCTGAGCTGTGGTCTGGGAATGGAAAGTAGAAAGAGGTGGGTCAGGAGGCAAAAACCTATCGTAAAGGGGAAAGTGTAGTAACGTCACTCGTCACTTTGGTCTCCTGAAGACAGACAATGTCGGCATCTAGCTCATCCAAAAGACGCCTCAAGGGCAGGGCCCTGCCGTTGCTGTGCCCTTGGCTCCGTATTCCGTTAATGTTCCAACACGCCAAGCAGAACATTTTGAAAGCAAACTGCAAAGCCTTCTGGGCCACAGCGCAGGAAAGCGCCAGCAAAACTACGGACGCAAAAGACTAAGGCCCTCCCACAACGCACATTTGCACAAGTGTCTTCATGCGTGAGCAAAAGAGTCCTTACACGAAGGGCGGGACTTCCCTTGGTTTTCTCTCATCGGAGAAGCCACTGAAAGAGCTCAGTGGGTGGTGCTGACGCCTAGGAAAAATGAATAGAAGGAGCCCTTTAGTTATGTTTCTACCGTCAAACCTGTTTGGTAACCTGGCCACTGGAGTCCTACCGCGTTTCTCCTCTGTTTAAAGGCTGATGAGTGGTTCCGATCAATTCCAAAGGGGATTTCGCTGCGTCAAGCAACAGAATCAGACGCTGTGGGTCAGTTTGCCCTTTAGTGCGCAGATTGCTGTGGGGCTTATTCTCCAAGAGTGACCTTTGCAATTTCTCTAGCAGTCGAATGACCAAAGCTTGGGGAGGAAAAGTGCAAGAGGGGTGATACAGGGAGCTTCGTGGCTGGAGGGAATAGCATAGAAAGAATCCTACTAAGCAGGAGGACCTGTAGGGTGGCAGCCTTGAGCCTTACATGAGGGAAGAGGGTTTAAGTTTCCATTCCATCCTTTACCTATTATCTGTTTCGGGACTCATACATATAAACTATGTCTACATAGTTTCCAACAGCTTTTTTATTTTAAGGGGGTGGTGGGGGAAAGGAGATTGCCAAACCTTTCTTTTGAAATGCCTTTGGGTGGACCCAAACTGCCAACCTTTCAGTTAATGTAGTGCATTAACTGGTTGCATGACCCGGGGGAGTTTCATAGCATCCCTCTAACATGTGATCTGACATATATTTGCTCTTGGCTCCTTTTCTCAAAGGAGTAAAATCAAACCAAGGAATTTAAGTGTGTTTCCCTAGCATTTTTCCTGAAACTCTTTCCCCTTTCAGATCTTTTCCTCTAGGTCCTCTGCAGTATCTTATGGTTCATTTGTCATAGTACTTATGACAATGCACACCTCTCATTGATTTCCATTTCTGTTGCTACTAGGCTGCTTGCCAGTAGCTTGAGAACAATGACCAATTCTGATTCCTCTTGTTAGCTCCAGCCCCTAACACTACCAAAACAAAACCCAAACCAAAGGGGAAAAAAACACATTGCCAGTGAGCGGACTCCAATTCATACCAACCCTATAGAACAGACTAAGAGCTGCTCATTAAGGGTTCCCGAGGCTATAAATGTTTAAAGGATTAAACAACCTCATTTTTCTCCTGTAGAGCACCCCAATGTGTAATCCATGGAGTCATCAGCACATATAAGTGGCAATAAGTATTGAACAAATGACAATAGCAAAAACATTAACTGGTTCACGGATTATTTTTGAAAGCATAAAATAGAAATAATAGACATACCCAATTACCAGGAAGAAGGATAACTGCATCTTTATGTTTCTTGCGCAAACTTGTAGCATCAATATTTTTTTGCCCCTTAATACAGTTTTAGAAACACCATCCTCTGGTGCCCGGCTATCAAATGGTGTAGCATCTGGGGTCTTAAAGGCTTGAAGATAAGCAAGCAGCCATCTAGTTGAGAAGCATCAAAGCCCACATGGAAGAAGCACACCAGCCTGTCTGACCACGAAGTGTAAAAGGGGCCAGTTCTCAGACATCAAAGAACAAAAAATCATATTAGTGGGTGCCCACCTTCCCGATGCAATCACTGAAGACAAACGTGTGCATAAGCAAATGTGGTGAAGAAAGCTGATGGTGCCCGGCTATCAAAAGACACAGTGCCTGGGGTCTAAAAGGCTTGAAGATAAACAAGCCACCATCTAGGTCAGAAGCAACAAAGCCCACATGGACGAAGCACACCAGCTTGTGTGACCACGAGCTGTTGAAGGGTTCAGGTATCAAGCATCAAAGAACAAAAAAAAATCATATTATTGCAAATAAGGGTGAGTGCAGAGTGGAAACAAAGCCCATCGGTAGGCAACTGGACACCCCCTTACTGAAGGGTTGTTGGGAGGAGATGAGCGAGTCTGGGTGCAGGGTAGCAATGATGAAACATATAACTTTCCTCTAGTTCTTAAATACTTCCTACCTCACTACTATCATGATCCCAATTCTACCTTACAAATCTGGCTAGACCAGAGGATGTACATTGGTACAGATAGCAACTAGTAACAAAGGGAATCCAGGACATATGACCCCTCCAGGACCAGTGGTGAGAGTAGCGATGCCTGGAGGGTGGAGGGAATATGGGGTGGAAAGGGGGAACTGATTAGAAGAATCTACATATAGCCTCCTCCCTGGGGGATGGACATCAGAGAAGAGGGTGGGGGGAGACGTCAGACAGTATAACATATGACAAAATAATAATAATTTATGAATTATGAAGGGTTCATGAGGGAGGGGGGAGTGGGGAGGAAGGGTGAAAAATGAGGAGCCAATATTAAGGGCTCAAGTAGAAGGCAAATGTTTTGAGAATGATGAGGGCAACAAATGTACATATGTGCTTGACACAATGGATGTATGTATGGATTGTGATAAGAATTGTATGAACCCCCAATAAAATGATTAAAAAAAAAAAAAGAAACACCATCCTCAGTGAATGCAGAAAAGTCTCAAGAAGCTGTTTCTTCTCCAACAGAAAATAGTTCTGAGTTTAAATAAAGTATTTTGGTGCCTTGAGCGTTTGCATGTTTTGGAAATTATTAACTCAGGATTGAGTACCAGGAGTGGGACAACTAGTACAAAGAAAAGGAATGTTTCCTTTCTTCTTGTTGCACATTGACAAGTTAATCCCTACTAAGAGACTGTGCCCATTTACACCGAAGACTAATCTGAAACTCAGCCCCAGTGAAATCCAGATCTTGCCTGTCTTTATTTGCTGGTTTTAATTTCCCTGTCCTGCAGTGGCTTGTTAATATTAGTTCTGACCTTTGGGGTAAGGTGAATACATGGTTGGTCTAAGGAGAAAAGGCTCTGTGTGCCCAGAAACTTCTTTGGCAACTGTAACGACTGATATTTTAACAGAGTACACCCCCTCCCCTTACCACGGGTACTTTCCCAACCTTCGCAATGAACCAAGGAACATCTCCAAGCTCTCTCTTTGATGCCACCCACTGGGCCTGATTTGAGGATCTGTAAACGCAAGAAAGCCTGATGTTGGATAATTAGCAATGGAAGAAAAAACTTCTAAGAGAATAGGTAAGTTAAAAAAAAAGGAAAAGTGCTTGGGAGTTACACAAATCCACATCCATTATTTGATCTCTTTGGAAACACATTTTTTTGGCTAGGTGGTCAGTTGAGATGTGGAATAAAGGGATGACAGAATGGGAGAAACGATTTTATCTATCTGGTCTATATCTAAAATTAAATATATCAATCTATGTATATTTTAAAATCCATTATAACCTGTCTCTAAGGCACTGGTCCAAAGTGCAGTTTCCTTAACATCTTTACAAGTCTCTCAAGTTTGGTCTATTCCAGTTTTGAGTGATAGAGATTATTATGCCTCTTGCCTCTCCACTGGTGCATAAAGTAGGGTTGGTTTGCTATGTCACTTTGAACAAGCTCTCTAGCTTTTTGGATTTCAATATTCCCTCAGTAAAATGAAAATCAAAGTCCTTAGACTACTTCTCTTAGCCAGCTGTCTGAAGGTCAAGATAGGAGCGATGGCAAGAATCAAAGTTCTTTAGAGACATTTCAGGACTTTAATGCTCCATCTGAGATTAGTGATCTTGTTTTTACTGTATCCTCAATAGGTAATACCAATGTCCCCATCTCCAGCCCTCAGCTGCTCTTCTCCCTGAGTGACTATGGTTCGTAGAAATGGAGTAGGGTGAGCACTGGGCTCCAGGCATTGGGCTGATAAATTGCGGGGGAATAGTGGACCAAGGCAGTGACTGAGAGTGGAATTAATCCAGTCTGCTACCACAAAAGACCTGATAATCAGATGCATGCACCTGGCCTCTGTACCACATACAATCTGGCAAATGAATTCACACCCACACACTCAAATAATTTACCTGCTTTTAATGCGACGCGCACACACACTCACACACTGTACTTGAAGAAGAGGGTCATGTTTTGTAGGGCTAGAAAAAGACACAGTGTACATATTTTTTCTCCCTAGAGGTAGCCACATCTTCAAATCAGCTTCTCAGTTCTTGATTTTGAGTCTCTGATGGTGAACCCTTTTTCTGCAGTCACTTCATTTACACCTTTTGATTTCATCAGATCATTGAATCTGTTCTTCCCCATTTAAAGTTGAGGAACTTTTATAACTACCACCTTCTACCCTCAGACCAAATTGCGAACATGGTTCTCCATAAAAGCATTTACTTTGTTGAACTTTGATTATTTGTCTATATGTGCGTCATATCTATATCAGAGAGACATTGATTGCACAAAAACATATTGAATGAGTATTTCCTCTGTGTCAGGGACACTACAAATACAGATCACAGATCTTGAAATCTAGTGACTATCTTCAAGGAATTCTCAATCCAGTAGGGAAGCATATCAGTAAAACACTGGTGGATACTTGCTCATATAGATAGATGAGAGTATATGGTCAGCAACAGAAACAAAGACAAAGCCTGTATCAAGTATATAGGAAGGCTTCCCAGAAGAAGTGACCACAGGGCGAGGCCTTGAAGTGTGAATTAGATTTCACTGAGAATGGAAGGGAAGAGAAAATATTCCAAGTTGTGCAAGCGGCCAGAGCGTACACCGAGTGTTTTTGAACCCAGTGAGTTTGTACAGTTTGAGCATAGGGGGCTAGGAAGGCACACTGCTAAAAAAGTAGCTTGGGGCTTGATTAAGAAAAGCAAAAGCCTTGAATGACAGACTGAGGTCTTCATGTGTTATTCTGTAATTAGGATCAGAATTAGTAACAGTGATTAGTTTCACAGCTAGTTCCAGGCAGTTTTAAGTTGGGTTTTGGAAACTAGATCCCAGGTTTCCTTTTCAGACCTTGCTAAATTACACCAACCTATCTCAGATTTCTTGGTGCTAAAATTATCTTTCCTCTTGGCAAGGTCATGAGAGCAAAGCTGTCCACATAGAAGAGGGGTTATGTGATTGGCTGGATTGCCTGGGACAAGCCACTTTCCTGTCATTTATGCCAGACCTGTTTCTCTGTGAGGCTATGAGGATGTTTGTAAAGAAAAAAAGGTATTCTGTTGATTTGGAGGTCATGGAAAACATAATGTAATTGGGTACAATTGAGTTCGTGATTTTAGCAGTGATATCGGTTGGGAGACAGTAGAATTAGGAGAGTTGCATCTCTTCCAAAGTGTAGATAGGAGATTCCAGAGGTTCTAAGCTAATCTCAAGGAACACACTCTTTTTTCAAAAGGTATTATTTCAATGAAAACACAGCAGTTTAGGTTCCCATTCAACAAATTCTACCCAAATTGTTCAGTCACATTGGTTGCATTCTTCGGAATGCATTAGCATCACATCTATTCTTATAGTTGTTCTGCTTCCATTAATCTAGTTCCCCTACCCCTTTAAAATCTCATCCTTGCTTTAAAGTAATTATTTGATCATTTTGTAACTTATAGAAGGTATTTTAAAGGCCATGGTACTTACAGGTGATATTCAATATCTTTAAATCTATCTGTTACTTAACTACAAGTTAGCCTCAAGGGTTAGTTTAGATTCAACATTTAAGAATATCTCAGGGCACTAGTCTTGGGAGTTCTCTAGTCTCAACCAGCCCACTAAGTCCGGTTTTGTTGTTGTTTTTATTGTTATCTATAAGAAATTTGAGGTTCTGTTTCACAATTTTCTCCCAATCTATCAGGGTCCACCCATTGTGGCGCTGTTTAGAATGATCAGTAGTGGTTGCTGCTGGATCATCTAGTTCTTGGTCTCAGGTTAGATGAGGCATTAAACTATTTGTCCTATGGACTAGTTTTTTCTTTGAGTTCCGAGATGGTACTCTTAAGTCAAGCTAGATTGATCCATTAGCCAAAGAAAATGCTAAACATGGAGTAATTAGGCCCCCTGGGGCTCTACTCTTACTTTCTCACTGATTTTCTACTTGACGGGAGAAAATTACATATTTTCTGTAATCCTCAGTTTTCTTCTCTGACAAGGTTAGATAAAATGATATCTAAAGGGCTTTCAACTCCAACATAAGTAAATCTAAATTTTAAAAAACAATTAATTTTTCTAAATGGTTTATTGTTCTTTAAGTATTATAAATGTCAACTTTTTGCACTGATACTATAAGCTTCCTTTATTGAGTGTTTTCTGTATGTTCAACCTTACACTAAAGGTTTCAGATTAGCAATAGAGGTAATCTTCAGAAAGGGAATCACAATGTTAAAATCCCAGCCAAGCCCTTTGCTATCAAGTTGATTCCAATTCAGGACAGAGTAGAATTGTCCCCATAGGGTTGTCAAGTTTGTAAATATTTATGGAAGCAAACTATCACATCTTTTTCCCACAGAGTAGGTGGTGGTTCAAAACTTTTGGTGAGCAGCAGAACACTTAACCACTGCGCCTCCAAGGATACTGGTCATGGTGTTTTTAAAAAAATCCATTGTGATTAGCAGTCCAACAACTACCCAGCAGTGACAAGTAATATATATTGATCATTTACCAGCTTGTTTTATGTGTACATATTAACACAGTGGATCTTCAATAACCCTAAGAAAGAAGGTACTCTTATCATTCCCATGTTACAGCTTAAAAAACTGAAGACATGTACATATGCAAATATATTTATATGAGGATGGAGAAATAGATCTATGAGCCTATATTTATAGGTTTA